GAAAGATGGCGGAACCTGAAAGTCGACAACTAACATTCGTGACAGTTTTGATTTTGAAATCGCTTTTCAGAGCAATACGCAATACATTCTAGAAAAAAACGCCAAAACTAAGCAATTTCGGAATTATATTTCAAAAGTCGAAATTCGTATTTCAATCTTAATTTTATGGTTTTTAACTTTTATGTTTTCCTCATTTAGCATGAAGCCAAAATGACTGAAGAGATTGTGTGTTAAGAGGCATTGTGCGTTTGCCTTTAATTAAGCCCTTGTCCTGCCGTAATTAATGGCGCTCCTGTTTGGTTTTATGCCCATTTTTATTGGCCATCGCATAATTACTTTTTGTCCCTTGAAGAATTGAAGGGACGCTTTTTGATTTAGTTGAAAAGTGAGACCAAGCTGTTATTCATATTTTTTAAATACCTCTAAGCTGATTGTGGATGTTACTTTGTATTTGTCTTTGTAACTATTTGGTACCGAAAAAAGTGTACACTTCTCTGTGGGGAATTTTGCACAAGAAAATATTTATTGCCTAAAATAGTACTTAGGTAAAAGCTTTTACCACTATCCTACAGAGACATTTGGTGATTTTTATATAAGTCAATGTCATCGAGGTGGCGTAGGTACTTAAAGCACTTTATATTTATTTCATATACCTACACATCAAACAGGACTCAAGTAAACCTCGCACTAGAAAATGCCTTTGTAAGAATAGAGTCTATTTGCATCTGAGACTCTGCACTCAGCACATTTCTGCCTCAACAAGTCTCTGCCACTTTTAATATCCGAATCGCCAGTATTGGTCGGAGCCTCGCTGCATAATGCTGCGACGAGGGCTCTCGCCGGTGCGCTGTTGGCGAAACAATGCTGTACTATCAGCAGAATAATGTCTAAGTTTTATTTTGTGCTACTATCAGCAGAATAATGTCTAAGTTTTATTTAAGTTGTGTCAAACGTTACGTTTCCCAAATTCAGGAATAATTTAAAATCGTACCTACGTTAATTTTTCAAGATTCAATGAAGGCTGATTTATAACCCCTTTCAGTGCGTCATCGTTTCTTTGACATTTATAAGGCTATTTCTCATCGCCACGGTTCTCATCGTCACCTTCGTGGCGAATTTTATTTCTAACTTATTTCAACTTTTTGTAAACAAAAATTGTAGCGCTTGATGTGAAGATTGTATTCTCAGTAGATCAGTCAAATAGTGAGTCTCGTTTGGAAGCTTCAACGTTTTGAATTTTTTGATGCCACGAAAGTGATTCTGTACTTCACAGCAATATTTTTTTCAAACTTTACTACTGTAAATGACTCTTAAGTGTTTATAAAATATATATTTTGTCTTATTTTCATAGATAAATAGCAATAACATAATATAAATAGGTACCTACTTAAATACAAGATAAAATTTTACCGATTACGTCACCTACTAAGTTACAAGATTCTACGCAATTGGTTTTAAGGTTGACACTGGTGGCATTCTGAAATGCTAAAGAAGCAAAAAACGGATTATCAGTACCTCAATAAAAAAGAACTCTAACTGATTATCAGTCCCTCAACAAAAATATTTTTTTTATTTAGGCCAGAGGGCCTCGTATTTTTGTTGTACAACTTTTAACTCAAACTTCAGATCAAATTTATCTTACAAACAGATACACACACAGTCACATATACAGACATACCTACATACAGTCACACAGACAGACAGACAACAAAAATACGAGGCCCTTATTTATTTATTGATGTACTGAGCCCCGATTACGGTAATTTTTAACGTCAACAATCCAGACACGCTTCTCGATTCTGCGATACGATTGGTCGTTCAACAGCGCACGTCAGCTGTTTTGACCAATCGTATTGCAGAATCAGAAACGCGTCTGGATTGTAGACGTTAAAAGTTACCGTAATCGGGGCTCTGATCTCNTTGTGATTGGTTGTTGGTGTTCGGTTTAACGGCAATCTTGTATTAACACTCAAAATTTTAGGTACCTAAAATCGTGTGACCAACGTATTTCGCTTTCTCAATTCAAAATAATTATAAGAAGATATTTTTTTGACTATTGTGTGGAAAATATATTTAATTACGATGATTTTAGTATATGCTACACACAAATTGAATGAAAATTGTGAATGCAGTAACCAAATGTTTCATTGCAACCGAAGGTGTGACACGATGAGAACGCGAAAAATGACCCCGTTTTTTATGGTTTCATGTGATTTTTTCGTATTATTTTTGCTTCTATTACGATAAAACTTATTTTGTACGTAGCTAAATAGATATTTTATCATCTGATTTCAAAGTTATTGTTCTAACTTATACCGTTTATGAACTACTAGCTTTCCGCCCGCGGCTTCGCCCGCGTGGAATTTTGTCTGTCACAGAAAAACTTTATCGCGCGCGTCCCTGTTTCAAAAACCGGGATAAAAACTATCCTATGTTCTTTCCCGGGACTCAAACTATATCTATGCCAAATTTCATCAAAATCGGTTGCGAGGTTTAAGCGGGAAAGCGTAACAGACAGACAGACAGACAGACAGACAGAGTTACTTTCGCATTTATAATATTATAGTTGGGATTATTGTGTGACCATCAAATTTGAGTGTAAATGAGAAGTACCCATAATCGCTTAGCAAATACAGTCGCCTTGTTATATTACGAGTATAATAACACGTCAGTCAAGCTTTCAAATACTGTGTGTGTCAATATGTTTGATATTCGATACCATGCGATCATTGTTTTACGAGGTACTAGCTTGTTAAATCCCTTTCAAGTTTATGTGCGATGCGTACGTCTGACGAATGCTGAATTGCTGAGTTAACCTCATTCTTTATCTGTATTATTCATGGTTAGGACAGACCTGTGTCAATATATTAAAAATAAATCAATTGAAACAAAAAAGAACGAATAAATAAACAGATGTGTATGTTGTTGCAATGTACGCAAATATATTCATGGAGAAGGGATTGAACCCACGTTGATATAGGTATTCAAGTTCTTTGTTTAATATGTTATTTTGGGAACCTTTGATCTGAGGAAGATGAAAATATTGAATGGCTTATATAAAGACTTATGTGATGGTACATAATGTAAGACCGAACCAAACAACTGTTTTGTCGTCTGAAAACAGCAGCCTCAATATTCAGAACGCTTCCTTGTCATTAAAGAGAATATCCAAAGAGTAGTTTTTACAGATTCATGGCAAATATACGTAAGTGCCGCTTCTTAACGCGCTACATTGTACAGTCAGACGCGAGCGCTGCTCTAGATATAACTCTTTTAACGCTACCCTAGTTTTGAACAACGGGACTACCCTATTGTGACGCCTTGAGTAAGTAGAGTCACCAAGCTGACAGAAAATGCAGGATTTTATAGCTTTGTACTCGTGTATTATGCGTAATAGACGGTAATGTACATATTATACGTGACTGTTTTACGTATCATTTCATCACTCGTAACTCGGTAGTGATAAAAATGAAACCAGCCAATCACACTACTGAAATTCTAAGACAATAATTAGGTATTTTAGACTATAGTTTTCCTTAACTTTGTAATGAGTTTAGGTTTAATGGACCCCCAGCAATGTTTAAAATGTGTCTTGAATACAATTAATATCGTAATATAGAGTTGGCAGATAAATCTCTACCTCTTGTAAAAATAAATTAAATACGAGTACTTCTTTATCCCTATTTTTCTTCTAAAGACGGAAAAGATTATCTTGTTTGTAACATTTATACTTATCCTTAAATAGGAAGTACGCTATTGTCACACCAAGTTTCCTTCATCTTCAAAGCGGGGTCACCTTTTATGTCGCAAGACGAAGGATTTTTATCTGGATTTGAAATTGTCGGATGTACAGTCGATAGCACATCAGATAACACACATTTTTGTTGGAAAATAGCCTCTATTAAAACTACATAAGATACCACAGTGTCTCGTTGTTGTGCTGTCTGTACCTCCACTACGGGTGCGTGTGACATCAAGCAGAATGGCTATGGAAATAAGGGAGCTATTTATGGAATAAGCGAATAATGAGATAGAGCTTGGATAGTCGATGCAATCGGGACTGAGAATACGATTTCGTGAACGATATTACATTCTTAAATCAAAATTTATTTTTATTGCTTGTTTTGTCTCTGTGTGTAAATTTATTTTTGGGATCCATTCTGGATTGTGTCGTTTGTTAATGTGGTTTCAAGTCCTTGTTGAAAATATAGTATATTCATACTTTGTTTATTTAAATTTAGTTACAGTGTACATTCCTTTCGTCTATTTTCCTTCATCTTACCCAAAGTTAGCGAGCAATGTCGATTCAGACGGACTACTTTTCTTTCACGACACTCATTACCTACATTCTTTCTTCGGAATTCACATCCACCCAAATGGGCGCACCCCAAATTAATTATATTATACTCCATATTTGTTTTCAATATTGGAACTCATTGGTATATTTCATGTATGTGTTTTGTGAAAATAAACACTAGTTTGATATTCTTGTGATAATTCTATTTACGGTTAGCATTGTTCATAATTGATAATGAGTTTGTTCAACTTTACTTTTCTATTAACGACATTGATAGTCGAAAATAGATAGTCTTTATTGTATAGTAACACGTGATTCAGCTCTAAATACGCTTAAAATAAACTTAATCAATTATAATATAAATAAATCTGTTAATAATGTTAAATAGTAAAGTCGTCATGACTGTTTGTTCGATGGATGTTTGTTTTTTCATCACACAAAAACTTCTAGACAGTATTTGATCATAATGGGCATTATTAAAAAAAAGTTGGTATACCCGGGACGAACTCTGGATTAAATTTGGTTAAAAGGGCAAATAAGTTTGAATTACCACATCTGTGCTTGACCAGGCTTGACCTTATTGTGACCAGTCCTCATTGACCTTATTGTGACCAGTCCTTGACCTTATTGTGACCAGTCCTCATTGACCTTATTGTGACCAGTCCTCATTGACCTTATTGTGACCAGTCCTCATTGTCCACAGCGCGATGAAGCTGTGCTGGCTCGTGCTGACGGTGGCGGCGGCGGTCGTCGCCGACGAGGCAGCCGACCCTGAAGGCTTGCTGGAACCCATCGCTGGTAAGTCACCTCAATAATTTACTAATTTGTGAGCACCTTATTAAAATAAATAGATATTTTTACGATAAACGCAAACTTAACAAAGAAAAAATAGTGATTTGTGAGAGAATATAACGTGATACCTTTTATACTGCTATATTTTGGCGGATTGAGGATCTGGTGAAGATCGTGGGAAAATCCTGGTAGCGCAGAACCGTCAAGTGTATTTTTTATTTGTAAATAGGTTTTTAAAAAGCACTTTCTCTTGTCGTTGTGGGAATTCTTTGGTACTCGTAAAATCTTTGTCCAACCCAACGTCTTTAGGTTGATAGGGAAAAGGGAAGGAACATGAATAATTTAGTTTCAAAATGTTGGTTTCTTAATCGCGGTTCAAACAGAAGTCGGTATGACTCATAAAATAACATGTAATAGGTTTCACAAGCTAAACTCATAATAGAAACCGATTTGTAATCTTCTACCAAAAATAATGTAGGTGTTGCAAGTTTGTTACATCAGTAAGCTACTTAATCGCACTTTACGGCTTCTTCCTCGCATAAAAACAATAAACGGATACACACTAATGCCGTATCTGGTCGTAAAATACTAAGCGCCCACAAAAATGAGCGTTATATCCGTCAGAATTAATTCCGCTATAAACGGCCTCGTAGTCTACGCATTAATGCTACGAGGCTACGAAAATTCGTAGGGCCGTAGCAGAAGCTACGGCAAATATAGTATGTTACTTGTTATTATATGGTTTCCGATAATATTTTTGTAAGAATACGACACTACACATTTTTTCACATAATTTTATTTCACATATTTTGTGGTGTAAAATAACAGTCAAAAATATTATGTACTAGCTGACCCGGCGAACTTCGTACCGCCTTAGCGTAGAGATTTTCTTAATATTTTTTCCGTAAGAACCATCCTTGGACTTCCACAAACATTAAAAAAAAAGAATTATCGAAATCGGTTCAGCCGTTCACACGTGATGCCGTGACAACGCGAAACGGGTTTCATTTTTATACAGGGTGGAAACGATAAGTGATCTCATTCGATTATTTCTAAACTATACAAGATATCGAAAAACTGGTTACTGATCCTGAAAGTGCTTCACGAGCTCTATCCAACGGTACCAATTATAGGTTACGGAATAAACTGAATCTATCTGAAAATTCAATGTTTCCAACTTCCATACTAAATGTATGTCAGACGCACAATATTAGAAGTGTATATTTTTTTATTTGATAATAAACTCTTAAAATAAACTCGTAAATTGTATTCTTATTTAAAATTATTTCTGGAAAACATTGGTTTTAGGCTATACTTGCTATAATATTGTCAAGAGATGAGTGTCATGACTGTGGTAGTACTAAATGTATGGGAAAAGGAAACATTGAATTTTTGGATAGATGCAGTTTATTCTGTAACCTATTATTGATACCATTGAATAGAGTTTGTGAAGCACTTTTAGAAACAGTAATCAGTTTTACGATATCATGTGTACTTTTTAAAATAATGTGACTTTACCAAATGTATGGAAGCTGGAAACATTGAATTTTCGGATGGATCCAGTTTATTCTGTAACCTATTATTGGTACCGTTTGAAAGACCTTGTAAAGCACTTTCAGAACCAGTAATCAGTTTTTCGATATCTTGTATAGTTTAGAAATAATCGAGTGAGATCACTTAACGTTTCCACCCTGTATATATAGATGACTGCTTTTCGATTTTGGTAACAATTTAAAAACATTAGAACTAAATATTAGTATTTATGATACCTCATTTCATATTGACGATGAAATAAATCGAAGTTACCTTCATTAGTCCGTTTCAAACTGCCATACTACGAACCCGTAGCCCGTAGCGGCCGTAGCTCGTAGCGCGTAGCTCGTAGCCGGTTATTGCGTGCCGAACTCCATTAAATATTACGATCTTCGATTATTTTCTGATGACAATAGTAATTACAGGACGGGTTGTATACAATTTATGTGGGTGACGACCAAGCATGCTAACAAAGGATATAAATTATTCGACAAAGCTTGATAACTTAATAGATAAACAATCAATCATGTGGTGTTTGTTCATTTAACTTTAATGATTATACGTCATGTGAACGGATAGTTTATGGACTTATAGTCCAGTCAATAAAGAATTTGTATAAAATGTATGTAATTTACAAAAAATATATCTGTTGTCTAGTACCCATAGTACAAGCTTTGCTTAGTTTGTGACTAGAAGCGTAGTGTAAAATGTCCAAGGATATAAAAAAAATATAGAGGGAAAATGCGTGGAACAAAATTTTTTACTTCGGGACTTTGTTTGGAGTAGACAAGGGCTAAGGGCGGGGACTTTTGATATGTTCACCTCCTAACTAGTCCAAACGAAGTCCCGAAGTCAAAAATTGTATTCCAAGCATTTCCATCTACACCACAGTTAAGCATTCATTGACTGGACTACTCGTATTACAGTAGGTTTAATATTTTAAACTGTTTTATTCTTCAATACAATAAAGTATGTAAGTGTTGGTTCTACAAGATAGTACACAGTGAGTATTGGTTAAAGAAGTGTTAGTGAAATATGAATTAGTGAAAATACTAGTACTATTAAAAGTTGAAAGTAATAAAATACTTTTATTTTAGTTTATTATTATTACCAATTTCAACAAGTAAATTCACCAATTGGAATTGTTCGGTAATTCATCCTGTAAATTATATCAATCAAAAGCGAGTTATAGTTTAGAAGTTAGATTAGTTTAACCCTTCCCTATAACTCCGCAGTATAATCCAAATCAAATCCAACTCGTGCGCGTTTGATGAGTCCTGTAGGAATACTTTGCATATAGGTCCGCAGCCGAGGGAAATTGGAGGTAGATTGGACCTCCCAATTTACTTCTAATTTGCATCGCAATGAATAACGAGGGTTTCGACGATAGCTTAATCTAGTTCACACTTTGAACAACGAAAAGTGTATGCTCAAAGCAAATGATGGACAAAATATATTTCAGTGAACACACGAGTCACGACTGTTTTATAGATGTATATTTTACATCTCTTTCTAATTTCTTATTGGTTTAACGTAGACGATCTATAATAATAAAAATGGTTATACTTATAAGATATCAGTAACATACTCGTTATTTATGAAAACGATATAACAATAAAGATGTCTCTATTAGTAATATCGTTTTTTATTATGATACTCGATAAATAATGAAGATGCCTTTGTCTTATTGCTTATACCTAAACTTAAACATAAGATTAATATTTCAGATATTGTATTGGCATAGTTCGATATCGTAAGTAAGCTCTCAAGGGAGCTCTTAACACTGTTTATTATCTCGTAGTAGTGCTATAGCGCTACTCAGGTACTCTTGGAAACTTATTATTAATAATACGAATTTAATTTCAAATCGTATGGTTTTCATCTGATTTTGATGATGCTTCTTGATGTAAATCGGCGACAGATTATATTTATTCCTTAGGGCGAACAGAGGATAATATTCGCTCAGTAAATCTTCATACATGGGCCAATGTACTGTGCCAGCAGAATTCGGATCGTCTCCATTGAAACTGCTTTCAAGTTGTACTATGACCCAAACTTTATATGGGCCAGTGGCTGCGTAATCACATCAGTCCACTCCACAGAGTTGGCTGTCTCTTTCAATTTTAGGTGAAAAGCTTAATATAGTAGCTGTAGTTAAGAAAGTTTTGACTCTTGCCGTATGAGTAGACCTTAGTAAATTAATGTTCAAAGTGAATTAAATGTTGTTTCAGCTTTAATAACTAACAATATTTAACAAGTAAAGTAATAAAGAAAGTTTTAGAATAATCAACTCTGGAATTTCAAAAACTCTTATGCAGCCAAATGAAAATAATAATTAAGCTTTCTAAACTTACCACTTTCTAGGATTTCAAGCACTATTTCAAACATAAGGTCAAAATATTATACCCTATCCCACAGATTGTAAAAAGTAATTGTAACTTTTTGCTATGCTGCGTCATTAATCTATATATATAAAAGAAAGTCGTGTTAGTTACTCCACTTATAACTCAAGAACGGCTGAACCGATTTAGCTGAAAATTGTCAGGGAGGTAGTTTAGAGCAGGGAGGTAGGAGAAGGACATAGGATACTTTTTATCCCGTTCGAAATAAAAAAAAAGTCTGCTTATTTATTGCCATTAAGGCGGAACAAAGTTCGCCGGGTCAGCTAGTAGACTTAAAAAAGGAGGAGGTTATGTTCTTTTATTTTAAATTAGCGTAAAAGGATTTCTGGCGGTAGTTTGCGATGCATGCTTTTGAGCGGTTTAATTACCATCGCGATTAAAATTCAAAGTGAAAGTACTTGCTTTATGCGGGGTGAAAAAGTTTCCTCACTATTCGCATAATTACATCGCGAGGTTATTTACATACATTATTATGTATTACCCAGCTCTCTCGTAACCGCGATATGGTGGATAATTATATGAATTGTTATTCAGAATGGGAACGATCGTGATCGAAATGTTTGAGTGCCATATTTGATTCATTTCTGATGTATTTTCATGAAATATTTTACCTCAAAATGAAGCTTTAGTTTGTGATTTATGTGAAAGACGAGTAGAGCTTCGTTTGATAGAGTACGTTAAAGTAATTAAAAAGGCATTGAGTGACTTTTGCTGAATACGTCTATCGCAAGAAACTTGGGTCTACGCTCTTTGCCGCGTAACAGATTGATTCTTAAATATGAAAATTGAAAGAAATTGAATTTAATTAGAGCAAGGCCTGTTTATTTTGGAGAACATGTGGTTATAAAATGTTAAGCCCTTACAAATTACAACAACAAAAGGTAGGTCCTTTTGAAATTGAACTTTTATTACGTACAATGCGTCTGAGCTAAAATCTATTTCTGCACCAAACCAACACTTGATGTTGTGCTTAATAGAAAAATGACATTCCACGACATTAGCGAGAAGGAAACCTAAAAGGGCGCAGTTTTATATTTTCCGGGTAAATGCAAATTGGTGGCGCGCGCGTTG